CAGACTTCATACCCAGGTCTGCCTGACATCCTGAAATTGCCTTGTCCTTCCTAATGCCTTTTCTGGCAGTGAGCACATGGTGGCTTACTGTTTGATTGACTTTCTCATGTGTAGTTGGAGAAAAGCTTTCTTCCCTTCCAACGCGCGCCTGCCCCTAAGCTGGCCTGTGCTGTTCCTCATCTTTAGCCCTTATACCCACTCTGGTGATTAACTGGTTGCTATAAATAGCCCAGAAATATAAAAAGAGGGGAAAAGCGCACACACACCCCAAAAAAGCCATTTGTAATTAGGACTGTCAAAAAGAAACTGAAGCCAAGAGTACTCTGGGGGCAGCTGTGTGTCTGCTGTGTCTTGGGGACAGGGACCTTGTTTGGGGGTGTGGGGGCTGGCTTGACACAGGATTATCCTGGAGGGCAGACACACACCAGTGACGGGGCCCTGACAAACTGGGTCACTGACGTCAGCTTGCCCGTTGCTGCCCACATTTCCAACTCAAGAGCTTCTGCTGGTTTCCAGAGCCTTCAGATCTGGCCCCTCTCTGCTAGGGGAATCTACGTAGTGTGAGCCAGCCAGCAGGGTGTGAAAGTAGATGTGGGGGAGAGAGGACAGGATGCCTGTCTCTGGACTCTGCCAGTGCAAAGGAGGCAGGCGCAGCACTCTGGAGGCCAGCTAGGTCTCTGCCCACCTCACACCCCACTCGGGGTCTGTCCAAGAAGACCAGGGAGTGGGGGAGGGGAGAGAGGAGGATAGGGAGAAAGGGAGGGAGAAAGGGAGAGAGAGAGATGTAGCAGGAGGAGACTGGGTCTTAATTACAGGAAACAGGCACTGCTGTGAACAGTCTTGAGCAAATTAAACAGCGGGATTTCTGGGTATCCTGCAACCCCCATCACCCCGCTCCCACTGACCTAGGTGGCCCCCGAATCTTCCTTTAGGCAGAACTAGCTCAGGCATAGCGTTTGGGTGAAAATGAGAAGGGCCTTGCGAACCTCAGGGTTCATCCCCCCTATTTATTACCAGATTTGGCTTTCACATCACAATATGTGGTGTGAAGGACCCCTTACATTCCTAACTTCTCTGTCCAGCCCAATTCCCAGTGGCCCTGCCGTGCTGTGGGGGGACCCCCAGAGAGGCACAGAGTTGCCCAGTTGAGAGACCAGACTTGGACTCAGAACTTGTGGTTCTAGAGGGACCACACGTGTTCTATGGGCACATGTGACCAGCTCATCCATCTGCCTGCAGGTCGTCGAGGACTGGAAGTACGTGGCCATGGTGGTGGACCGGCTGTTCCTGTGGGTGTTCGTGTTTGTGTGCATCCTGGGCACAGTGGGGCTCTTCCTACCACCCCTCTTCCAGACCCACACATCTGCTGAGGGACCCTAGGCTTACGGCATGGCTAAGAGCCCCCGGGTTGTGGGGCGAGAGGCTGAGAGCGGCCAGGTGGGCAGTTGGCTGCTTCCTTCCAGGTCATGGCCGATGAGGCCTTAAATGAATACGTGACCATCGGCCATCAGCCGCATCAAACCAGCCACAGCTGAGGGAGAAGCAAGGATGGTGGGCCTGGACTGTCCTCTCTGAACGCCTTGGAGGAACCCCAGGAAACCTCGGCAGGAGGAAGCTTCAGACAGTTTAATTCCAGCCTGTCTTCCTTCCCTGAACAGGGCACTGGGGATAAAGACAAGCATCCTAGCAGCACCTACTATGTGCCAGGCATCGTGCCAGCCTCCTGACACAACTCTCCGGCCCCGCCTCCCTCTACTTCTTGCCCAGTCCCTCACACACCCACCTCAAGATCCATCCCAGCTCACAGCCATTGCATTTACTGCGACTTCCACCTGAACCTTCTTCCCCAACGCTTCCCAAGCTCTTTCCATGGCTGTACCAGTCAGGACTTGACTCCAGTGTCACCTCCTCCAGGTGGCCTTCCCTAATCACCCACAACTGCGTCACCCTGCTGCCTCCCTCAAGCCCTCCTCGGTGACTGTAGCTCTTACTTGGTGACATGTCTGTACTCCACGTCTCCCCGACTAGAATGTGAGCTCCACTGGGACAGGAACCTGCTTCTTCACACTCATGGCCGATCCCCAGGGGCTGGGACAGAGCTTGGCACACAGTAGGTGCTCAATAAATGTTTGCTGAATGAACAAATGAATGAATGGCTCCTACTCCTCCTTCAAGCTCAGATGCCTCCTCTTCTGAGCAGCTGTCCTGGTTCCCCTACCTGGAAGGGCCGGCCTGCTCCTCTGTGATTCTGCAGTGCTGGTCACATTCTGCTTTTATACCAGAGCTAGTTCAGGTCATCTCCCTCAAGATGCTCTGATTGGCTCCTCCACCTCCTACCTTTCTCACAGCTCTGTGCATGTAGCATTCTAAAGATTTGCAGAACGGAGGACTTTTAAAGAATTCTATTTTTAAGTTATTATATAATAAAACTGATGTTCTCATGTGTAGTTCTATGAATTTTAACACATGTAGAGATTTGCATAGCCCCCACCACAAGCAGGGTGAAGGGAGATCCATCCCCAAAACATCTCCCTCTTGCTCTTCTCTTACAGTCCTCCCTTCCTCTACTCTTAGCCCCTAGCAACCATATCTTTTGAGACAGTGGATTATCGCTTTGTTGCCCATACCAGAGTGCAGTGGCACCATCATAGCTCCCTGCAAGCTCAAATTCCTGGACTCAAGTGATCCTCCTGACTCAGCCTCCCAAGTAGCTAGGACTATAGGCGCGCATCACCACTCGGGGCTAATTTTTTTTTTTTTTTTGAGTTGGAGTCTCACTCTGTCGCCCAGGGTAGAGTGCAGTGAAACGATCTTGGCCTTCTCAACCTCGACCTGCTGGGCTTAGGTGATCCTTCCACCTCAACTTCCAAGTAGCTAGCACTGCAGGTGCGAGCCACCATGCCTGCCTAATTTTTTTATTTTCTGAAGAGGTGAGGTCTTGTCATGTTGCCCAGGTTGGGCAACTGGGCTCAGGCAGTCCTCCGCCTCTGCTTCCCAAAGTGCTGGGATTGCAGGCATAGGTCACTGTGCCCAGCCACAAATCTTTTCTCCATCACTCTAGCTCAGTCTTTTCAAAAGGGCCCTTTACATGGAATCCTACAGTATGCAACCTTTGGAGACTGGCTTCCTTCGTTCAGCATAGTGCCTCTGAGATTCATCCAACTGGCTGAGGGTATCAGTAGTTTGGGTTTTTTGATACTACTGAGCAGTATTCTATGTAAGCATGTTGAAGCACATTAAGGCTATTTCCAATTTCTGACAATTATGAGTAGAGCTAATATAAACATTCACGTATAGAACTGTGTGTGAACACGTTTTCATTTCTCTAGGCAACACTCAGCAGTGTGGTCGCTGGGTTATATATAAATGTATGTTTAATTTTATGAGAAACTGTTGAACCATTTTCCAGAGTGGCTGTACTATTTGGAAATCCTTCCAAGGCATGAGAGATCTGGTTGCTCTGTGTTCTCATCTGTACTTGGTATTCACAGCATTTAAAAAAAATTTTTCAACCATCCTAGTAAATGTAAGTGTACGCCATCCTGGTTTTAATTTGCATTTCCCTAACAACTAGCGTTGTTGAACAGCTTTTCATGTGCTCTTTTGTCTGGTAAAATGTCTGTTTAATGCTTGGCTCATTTTTTAAAAACTGAATTGTTCATTTTCTTACCACTGAGGTTTTTTTTTTAAGTTATTGAAGTCTAATTTACATACCATAAAATCCACCTATTTTAAGAGTAAAATTCAACGAGTTTCAGTAAGTTTATTACCATCATCCCGTTTTAGAACATGTGCATCACCCCAATAAGATCACTCATACCCGGCTGGGTGTGGTGGCTCAAGCCTATAATCCCAGCACTTTGAGAGGCCCAGGCAAGAGGATTGCCTGAGTCCAGGGGTTCGAGACCAGGCTGGGCAACATGGCGAGACTTCGTCTCTACAATACATCAAAAAAATTAGCTGGGCGGGGTTGGGCGTGCATGCCTGTAGTTCCAGCTACTTGGAAGGCTGAGACGGAAGAATCAGTTGAGCCCATCAGGTCGAGGCTGAGGTGGCCATAAGTGTGCCACTGCACTCCAGCCTGGGCGATAGAGTGAGACTCTAACTCAAAAAAAAAACCAAAACAACCACTCATACCCATCTGAACTTGCTACTGAGTTTTGACGGTTCTTATATATTCTGGATAAAAGCCCTGTGTTAGATAAGTGCTTTGCAATATTTTCCAAATGGATTTTTATGCCAGGAGGATGAGAACGCTTTAATTGGGGGCCTGAGAAGTGGGCCCTAATTCTTACAAGCATGTTTTGGGTCCTACAAACTGACTCCTTTTTTTTTTTGGTTTTAATCGGGGAAGCAGCCAATTCTGAAAATAATAAAGGCAACTTGCTATTTGCCAAATGCCAAGGTGAGAGTTTACCATAAAGCTTCCTGGATAAAGGAACATCAAGGACACCTTCATCAAAGAGCCCCCTCATCTCTGGTGGGTGGTCAGAGAGCCCAAGAGGGCCCAGGGTGCACTGCATGGTCACTGCACGCTCCTGGGGCACCCAAGGTTGCAGATGGTATGGGGGCCAAGGGGCTCTGCAGGGGGTCAGGGGTGGGAAGCCGGGTGCCCTCTCCATCAGAAGAACAATTGAAGCCTCGTTTTAAATTTTGTTTTCTTTTTCTTTCTTTTGTTTTGCTTTGTATGAAGGCACATTTCAAACATATTCCCAAGTAAAGAGAACAGTGAAAGAAACCACCAAGCGCCATCACCCCGCTTCAACAATGAGCAACTCATGGCCAATAATGTTTCAATAAAGTCCTTAAAGGACTTTAAGCTAAAAGGACCATAAGGGTTTTTAAAAATATTCCAATATATCTAAAATATTTAACAACTACTCGAGGCCTCCTCCCCGTGAGGGTGTGTTGGCGCCCCTCCTGCAGCGACCGCATCGCCGGGGGTCCCCCCGCGGGCGCTGCACACGCCCCGGAAGCCAGGGACAGAGACTCGGTCCTTCCCCGAGGTGGAGGTCGTGACGGTGCTGGCCGGGGTCCGGCCGGGCGCCGGCGGCGCGCAGGGCCACACCCGCCAGAGGGAGCCCG